ACTGCTGAGCTACACCTGTCAGACCTAAATAATTCTAATAATGCCTTAAATTTGTATATAGCACTTCCATACATGTTATTTCATTTACTTCTTAAAACTGCACTCTGAAATAGAAGGACAGATATCTCTTTTTGAAAGTGGATGTAAGTAAGATTTAGAAAACTTAGAGTAATTTGCCCAAGGTCACATGGCTGAAAGAGCTGTGCTGTCTTCTGATTGCTCTTTCTGCTGAACACAGCTGCCTTTGTGACAGCTGCCTCCAAGTTGACTTCCGTTTTCTCAACTCCAGGCTCTGCCCTGGTGTTTTATGTTGAGCCCAGAGGTTAGTTTCAATGGTTCTTATTTTTTTTTTCTGGAATTGTTGCTGCACATCTTTGCTTTACAAAAAAGACAAATCTCCCTACATGTCCTCTAAAGAATATTTGGGAAATAAAGTTAGATTTCTTTATTTGTTATTTATTAAAGGAAAATGTCACATTTACTCATAGTTGACTCTTAAATTGAGATAAATCACATATAAAATTCACCAACTTAAAGTGTACAATTCATGGTTTTAGCATATTTACACAATTGTGCAACCATCACTACAGTCTAATTTTAGAACATTTTTTCATCCCCAAAAGAAACATCTTACTCATTAGCTGTCACTCCCTATTCTCACCCCCTAACCCTAGGCCACTTCCAGTCTACTTTATGTCTTTTCTGTATTTGCCTGTTCTGGACTTTAAAGAAAAAAATTAATCCTCACCAGAGGTTATCTTTTCCATTGATTTATTTATTTTTTTTTTTTTTGTAAAAGTGGAAGGGAGAGGGAGAGACGGAGAGAAACATCGATTATAGCGAGACACATTGATTGGTTTCCTCTCACATACACTCCATCTAGAGTCACGGATCGAGCCTGCAATCAAGGAATGTGCCCTTGACCAGAATTGAACACTCGACCCTTCAGTCTGAGGGCTGATGCTCTCTCTAACCATTGAGCAACTGGCTAGGGCCTCAGTTATTGTTTTTTTGTAGGCATCTTAATTTCCACTAACGCTTGAATTTGTATTTGTTAATATATCAGCTTGCTAATGCCTTTACTACACAGTTCAGAACTCTAAATTTAAGACTGGATTAACCTGTCAATTTTCCAAAAATAACCTAGTGCTCAAACTAAGCCAAGTTTATACTTACTGCAGTGAGAAGGGAGCATTGCTCTAAAGAGTTCCACTAGTGTTTTAGAAAGAAGAGGTCCTGAATGGAAATTTATAGGGTTTTGATGTCTCGATTCTAATGGTTTAAGGCAGGTCTTTTTTCTTTCTTTCTTTCTTTTTTTCTTATTGAATTTATTGGTGGTGACATTGGTTAATAAAATTATATAGGTTTCAGGTGTACAGTTCTATAATACATCATTGTATATTGCATTGTGTGTTCACCACCCTAAGTCAAATCTTCCATCACCCACTTTACTCTCTTCTACCTCCCCCCACCTCCCTATACTTCTGATAGCCACCATACTGTTGTCTTTGAAAAGGTGAAGGAATTGAGCAAAACAACAAAAACACACACACCACAAATACACACACACAAAAAGCCCCAAACCTCATAGACACAGACAAGGCGGATCTTTTAACTCAGAGAACATATTGGCACTGGGCAAAGCTTGTGAGGATAATTTTGGACTCGTTGAGCAAATCTTGATGAGCAAATATTTGTTCGATAAGCGAGCAGGTTTGCTTAGCTGAGCAATTTATTGTACTAAGGGGCTGGTGGAGCAGCCTGTTTAGTTAAATGAATTTTTGAGAAGTTCCTAAAGCAAATAATGAAGTTATACACTAGTTTTTATCCTTATTTTGTTGGGCAAGATTTTCCTGGAACAATTGATAAAGTCATGTTGATGTAAGTGCTTTAGATTCTTCTTTATTATTAAGTTATGTGAATGTAGCCAAAATCGGTTTGGCTCAGTGTATAGAGCGTTGGCCTGCGGACTGAAAGGTCCCAGGTTCGATTCAGGTCAAGGGCATGTACCTTGGTTGCAGGCACATCCTCAGTGGGGGTTGATCTCATCGATGTTTCTAGCTCTCTATCCCTCTCCCTCTCTGTAAAAAAATCAATAAAAATATATATTTTAAAAATTATGTGAATGTAGAAGGTCTCAATGACATCTATAAAGGCAGACACATTTTAATTAAATACTTACTATTCCCAGCCCTGGGTATTTTACAGTTTCTATGACTTTAGCTTCTAACTGTAGATGGCATTATGATTATGGATTTCTGTGGCACTTTGTTTACTGACTTCAGTTATTATAGTATTTCAATATAATTTATCCCTGAATGCACGCTAAGTTTCAGTTGAACTAACAGGTTTCTATTCCTCAAAATGGTACTTTTCCTTTTCCTTTTCCCTCTTGATTATTGTGTTCATTTTATCTTATCAAAATTCTGTACCTCATTCAACCTTTCCAGAGTCCCACATTTTCTATCTTGAAACTAGCTATACCGTATTTCTGTGTAGTCATTTTTGTGACTCATTCAGCCCCTTATTGGATTGTAAGCCCATGGAAAACAGACTGTATTTTACTCGTCTTTTAAAAAATCCTTTTAATAAATATTTGTGTTACAGTGATGTTCAAACATTTTTCATCTCATGGCACACATAAACTAATCACTAAAATTCTATGGCACACCAAAATATAAATATACTAGAGGACCGGTGCATGAAATTCGTGCATGTGTGTGTATGTGTGTGTGTCCGAGTCCCTCAGCTCAGCCTGCACCCTCTCCAATCTAGGACCCCTTGAGAGATGTCTAACCACCTATTTAGGCTCAATCCCAGCGGTCAGATATCCTCTCACAATCCAGGACTGCTGGCTCCCAACTGCCTTCCCTGCAGGCTTGGTCCCCCCCAACTATCCTACACTGTAGGCCTGGTCCCCCCCAATTGCTCTCCCCTGCAGGCCTGCCCCCGCCCTCCATCAACTACCCTTCCCTATAGGCCTGCAAACCGCCCTCCACGCCCCCACAACTGCCTTCCCCTGTAGGCCTGGTCCCCTGAACTGATGTCCCCTGCAGACCTGGTTCCCCCCAACTGCCCTTTCCTGCAGGCCTGGTCCTTCCCAACTGCCCTCCCCTATAGGCCTGGTCCCCCGCAACTGCCTTCTCCTGCAGGCCTGGTCCTTCCCCACCTCCCCCAAGTGCTCTCCCCTGCAGGCCTGGGTCTCCCCCAACTGTCCTCTTCTGCTGGCCTGGTCACTCCCAACTGCCCACCTCTGCTGGCCTGGTCACCTCTAACTTCCTACAACTGCCCTTCATGTCACTTCTTTGAAGTCTGTCAGTGACTGATTATTGTACATCTGTTAACTTATAACGCACAAGATAGGCAAGTGTATAGTTGTGCTGCTTCCCTGTGATAAACATATATGGCTTTTTACAAAAATGGAAAACCAAAAGTGGGAATTGGTTAACAAAGATAAAAGTAAAGAAAAAAAAAGATAATGCTGAAAGTAAAAGCCAAACATAAATGGATTATAGAAGAAATAGCTGACTGTGGTAGTGTTGACACTGTCACTGCTTAAGAGATTTTAAATAGGCAGCAAGAGGAACTTAGTGAAAACAAACTTGTCAACATAAATGAGTCAAGTGTTTGCGACCAAAAAGATGAGGATGTCCAGAGAGATGATACAGGCAAAAAAGTCAAATTAAAGGAACTCTTAAAGATGTTTTAGGACACAAAAAGTGCAAAGAATAAAATGCTGAAAGCCAATCCCAACTTAGAATGGAGTATGACAATTTTGCCAAGGCATAGAAAAGATGCTCACTTTGTGTTGTAAGTTACACCACAAGAAGGCTCTGTTTCATTTATTTCTTGGCAAGTTTTAAACAAATAAGTAAATTTTCAATATTTCTGTTTTAAAAAATAGCATTTGAAATAAACTGACAGCTCTTAGTATTTTGACAAAGATTTTTTAAGGTTATGGACTAGTCATTTTCCCATTGGCTAGTAAAATTGTTTTACATGATTTTGGCTTGCAATCATTTTTATTGTCCTGCACTATCATGTAAAGCAAGGTCTGCCTGTATGTGCTGTGGCCTTTGGCCAAATGTCTGTTACCTGCAAAATCAGGCACTATCATAACTAAAACTGCGAGTGGAAGGACTAAAGTATGAACATTGGAACTATATGGACCTGAATTGAACTCTTTGGTATTTTGTGTGTGACTGAGGAGTCAGTTAACCTCAGGTTCCTCATCTGTAAAATAGTAGTTGCTCAATGAATACTTTTAACACATTAAGTGCCAAGCCTGTTTTGTCTTCCTTTCTGTTTACCTGCGTTATCCGATTTTACCAATATGTTGGCGGTACCAGAGACTGACCAGTCGGACGGAAAGTCTGGTGCTTAATGTGTTAAAACATTTTGGATGGATGCTTAGGCCCTGGCACTAAAAACCACTTATTTAGTAAATAGCTCACTTATTATTAGCATTTTTCATAGTGAAGTATCTGATAAAATATTTTTTTTCTGACAGAAACACATAATATTGGACTGTCACATATACAATTTAAAGTGAATAGACCCTCATATCATTTCTTTAGATCAGTTTCTCAAATACTATTGACATTTTGGCAGATAGTTCTTTGCTGTCGGGAACTGTCCTTTGCATTGTAGGATGTTTAACAGCATCCTGGCCCTTCCTACTAGATGTTACTGGCATTCCCCCCATTTATGACAAGTAAAAATGACTCCATATATTGCCATATTTGAGGTGGGTGGGAGCAACAACTGCTACTGAAACAAACAGGAATGCTGTTGTTATAGTTTGTCAGAGAAAACTTGAGTAACTATTTTTCATTTTTAATGCCCATAATTCTATAATAAATTGACTTTACTTTCTGTATTGTTACTTGTTTGAGGCTTTGTTTTGACCTTAAGAGAATTTCATTATAATTCTTCAAGGAAAATATATTGTTTCATTGGTTCCTGATCTCTGTCCCTGACTTTCTATGATTGCCTTGCAGAGCTCTGAGGAACATGAGTGTAATGATGAAGCTTCTCAGGAAGAGGAGGGGTTTATGGGCATGTCCCCTCTCTTACAAGCCCATCATGCTATGGAAAGAATGGAAGAGTTTGTTTGCAAGGTAAGATGGCAATTTCTTGTGATTTTCGTGTTATATAATCTGCCATTCCCACACAGAAACCTTTAAGGAGTGGGAGTGCCTTACCTTTTGGTTTACTTTGGGAATAATTTCTGGCAAAATGGAGACAAAAGCAATTTCATTACTTTAATCCTGTTCAAGGCATAATATATTTGCCTGCAACAGCCATGATAAAGATTTGAGAAAATTAGAACATCTAACTGGTAAAAAAGTTTTTCCTAATATGGGTTATTGATATTATATAGTTTAGACAAGAGAGAATGAAGCAAAATTGGGGATGGTTAATGCCTGGAGATACTAAAGTGCCATCTCCAAGTCCCTTGAATCTATTTATGCTGTTGATTGTGATGACAAGTATGAGACTCTTTCTGGGGTAATCAGCTACTCTTTATATAGGAACTAGAGGCCCAGGGCATGAAAATTGATTCACTGGAAGGGGTCCCTCAGCCTGGCCTGCCCTCTCTCACAGTCTGGGAGTAATTAATATTGAATATAACATTAATTGCAGTATAATTTGAAAGCACAGCTCACTGGCACAGTTTTTAGACCACTAGATGTTTGTATAGAAATAATGGCCAGGATGGGGGGAGGGGGGAGAGAATCATTCTGACATTTTATGCACATATAACTAGTAAGAAACTCAACATATTCTTTCTGACTATAAAAAGGAAAGGAGAATTTGATAATTTTGTCTGTTTGGCAACACAATAGCAATTTTTATGTGGTCACAATAGAGTTGTTTCCGAATTGTGAACTGACTTGAGAATGTAAGGATTTGATGCTCATTTTTCTCTCCCTCTTAGAAAATAAAATTCTCCCGAAATAAAGCAGTAACAGCATCTTGTAAAATTAATCTCAGTAATAGCTGTTTTACCAAGTTCAAATTAGATAAAAGGAATTCATTATCTTGGTGTGTGTCTCTCTCTCACTTTCTCTCAATATAAATCCCATGAAAGCTACAGGTACTTCTATAAGTCATGGTAATATTAGCAGTAGACATAAAAAATTGGATTAGTCTTTTGGCATCATTTTATTTTGTTGTATTGAATAGTCAGATTAATACCTGTAACCACAGGGCCATTTCTATTCTTTAAAAAAAAAATATATATATATATATATTTTTGGTTTTAGAGAGGAAGGGAAAGGGAGAGAGAAATAGAAACATTAATGATGAGAGAGAATCATTAATCGGTTGATTGATGATTTTGTCTGTGTGGCAACACAATAGCAATTTTTATGTGGTCATGCACACCCCCCACTGGGAATCGAGCCTGCAACCCAGGTATGTGCCCTTGACCGGAATTGAACTCAGGACACTTCAGTTCATAGGCCATTTCTATTCTTAAATTTAGTCTCCACTTCCTTTGGAGTTACACAGAGGATCAGTTTTTTTATTTTATTTTATTTTATTTTTTATAAATGTCAGGAGACATTGAGGAGAGCAGAGAACAGGAAAATGTTGTGGAGTGAAAGGAATGGACATATTTCTGCATAGTAGAGAGAGAACCAAGTGTCTATGGTTAGCCATGTTTGTCACAAGAATCCTGAGGACAGTGGTGGAATCATTGCTTGAAGCTGAAGCCTATAAGTAGACTATGTGCCTGGCATTTTTTCTTACATTTTTCTGGCTAGCAGAAGCAGGTTCATTTAGGATAAAGTGATCCTTGTGGTGTTGGCTCTCTGGGCTGAGAGACATTAAAAGAAGCAGGATGCAGAGTTGAGAAACTATTTAAAGAGTGTATACTAAACTCCTAATCCTTTTTCCTTTAAAGTTTGATGGGGAGGGACAAACAGGAAAAGGGAGAAAGGGGGCGAAGGGACTTAAAAGGCAATTAAGACCAGACTTCTTTGTCATCTCTTCAGCATGAGGAGGGTAGTTAGTTACTAATTCTCAGGTGATAGCCTCTGAGATGGTAGGGTTAATTCCACCTTTGGGATGGATGTTGAAGTTTGCTAACTTATTTATGAAATGCTTTGGGTTATTTGATTGATCCTCATATGAAATAATTAAGGCACTAGAATCCTCATTTTATAAATGAGGAAACAGGCTTGGTGATTTTGTGATTAAAGCTCATTCAACTAGTTAGTGGCAGACATCCAAGATTTTCTGACTCCTATGCTCTTTTCTATTTCATCATATTTGCTATGATAGGAAGAGAAGATAAAGGGAGAAAGAGAAAGCAAATAGGAGCAAAATGATTCTATATAGTTCTTTTTTCACTAACAGAATATCCTATATAATAAAGCCTAATATGCTGTCAGTTGTCCGGGTGTCTATTCAGCCAATCAAAGTGTAATATGCTAATGATATGTTAAGACCACTCATTCACTCCCTATGATGTGCACTGACCACGAGGAGGCATATGCTCTGTTAGGTTAGCTTGCTTCTGGGGTCGGGCCAATCGGGACTGAATGAGATGTGCTGGACACGCCCAGGAGGCCTTCTGTGTTCCCTCGCTGGCTGGACAAAGTCTTGTGTCCCTCCATGGCCTGATCATGCACTAGTGGGTCCCTTGGCTTGGCCTGTGCCCCCTCGTGATCTGGGACCCCTTGAGGGATGTTGGCGAGTTGGCTTTGTCCTGATTCCGCTCAACACAGGAGCTGCCTTTGGTGGTCAGTGTGCTCCCACAGGGGATTGCCGATCAGCCAGAAACTGGACTCAACAGCTGTCTCCTACCTCCATGGCAACACTAAGGATGTCCAACTGATGGCTTAGGCCGTCGGTAGGACATCCCCCAAAGGCTCCCAGACTGCGAGAGGGCACAGGCCAGGCTGAGGGACCCCCTCCTCCCGAGTGCATGTATTTTGGGCACCAGGCCTCTAGTCAAGTATAAAAATGGTCATATTTAATATCATAGGGGTTTCTTAGAGGTAAAGTCTATTGTGTAGAATGGAGGGGGGAAATCTGTATGGGTGGAACTTTGGACCCTTCATCCTACTTTAGCCATATTGAAACAAAGTTTGAAACAACTCTTTAGTACATATTCTATAAATGCATTTACTCGACCCCTTTTTCTTTCTTTTTTTTTTTTAAAAAAAAGATATTTAAAAAAAATTTTTTTTACAAGGAGGGAGAGGGATAGAGAGTTAGAAATATCGATGAGAGAGAAGCATTGATCAGCTGCCTCCTGCACCCTCCCTACCTCCCACTGGGGATGTGCCCACAACCAAGGTACATGCCCTTGACTGGAATCGAACCTGGGGCCCTTCAGTCCGAAGGCCTATTCACTGAGCCAACTGGTTAGGACTACTCTTCCCCTTTCTTAAGAAAAGCCCGCCTGCCCCATTTAAAAAAAATCTTTTTCATCAATCTGTTTTTTAGAAACTCAGAATATAGGACATTGTTTATTTGAATGTGTTTGTAAGTTATTTTTTAAAATAAGAAAATGTAAGAAATTGTTATTTGGGACCAGTGTTGCTAAAGTTACAATGAAAATCCCCAAAATATTTGATAATATTTTTCTTCCAGGTTTGGGAAGGTCGATGGCGAGTAATTCCTCATGATGTCCTACCAGACTGGCTCAAGGATAATGATTACCTTTTACATGGACACCGGCCCCCTATGCCTTCTTTCCGGGCCTGTTTTAAGAGCATTTTCAGAATACACACAGAGACAGGCAACATCTGGACACATCTCTTAGGTATGTAATATCAGTGGTGTAATGAATTGGTGATCTTATTCTTTTTTCACTTACTTAATGGAAAGTATGGAACTTAAAAATGTGTTTATGATTTACCATTTTGTTTTCTGGATTTCTAATGCAGTTTCTCAGTGATTTTCTCTGTGGTTTGCACTATGATTTTATTACAGCTAAGATATATATATATATGTATATGTATATGTATATGTATATGTATATGTATATATAATATTACATATGGCTCCTTTTCCCCATTGGTCCCCCAATTGAACAGGCCAAGAGAGAGGTACTATAAAAAGTGTGGTATAATATTTTAATGAACACTGAGAGGAAGGTAGTTATTGAATAGAAGTAATCTGATTTTTCAAAGTCATTACTTAGAATATTCACAATTACATTTCAGTTTGTCTTAAAGTAGAGTGTGATGTATGATATTTTTTCCCCATCATGATTGTATATTAAAGAAGGAATAGAATGGTATTGGGGATAACTATGTAACTACATATAAAAGGATAAAGCTGGACCCCTACTTCACACCATATATAACACAAAATGGATTAAAGACTTAATCATAAGAACTAAAACTATAAAATCAAGAGAAAACATAGATGCAAATATTTATAACTTTGGGGATTAGGTGACAATTTCTTAGAATTGATTTCCAAAGCATGTGCAACCAAAGAAAAAAATGGATAAATTGGACTTCATAAAAATTAAAACTTGTATGACAAAGGACATTATCAAAAAGGGAAAAGGTAACCCACAGGATAGGAGAAAATATTTGCAAAATAAATATTTGATGATTGCTCTAGTAAAGAACTCTTACAACTAAACAATAGGAAGTCAACCCAGTTTAAGAAATGAGTAAAGCATCTGAGTAGTAATTTCTTCAACAAGTTCTAAAAATGGCCTACAAACACATGAGAAGAGGCTCAACATCATTTTGGGGAATGCAAATCAAATATCAATACTTTGAAAAATACAATACCATACTTACTAGAACATCTGTAATAAAAATGGGAAATAACAAGTCTTGGCAAGAATATAGAAAAATTAGAACTCATATACATTGCCGGTGGGAATATAAGAAGGGTGCAGCCTCTATGGAATATAGATAAACAGAGTTACCGGCAAATTCTCCTTAGGCATTTTTAAGAGAATTGAAAACATGTTAAAACAATGAGGACATGAATATTTTTAGCAACATTATTCATAATAGCTAAAAAGTGGAAACAACCCAAAATCTTATCAACAGATGAATGGATAAATAAAATGTGGTATATCCATACAATGAAATATTACTTGATATTGATACATACTACAACATGAGTGAGCCTTGAAAATGTGCTAAGTGTGAAAGAAGCCAGACACAAAAGGCCACTTATTATGTGATTCATATACATGAAATGTCTAGAATGGGAAAATTCAAAATCAGAAAGTTTGTTAGGGCTGTCTGGGATGGGGATTCGGGAATGAGCTATGACTCTTAACAGGTATAGGGCTTCTTTTTGGGGTAATAATAGTGATAATTTTATAACCTTGTGAATACAGCAGTCTTGTTATCCAAGGGGGATACATTCCAAAACCCCCAGTGGTTGCCTGAAACTGCAGATTGGACCAAACTCTATATATACTATTTTTTTTCTACACATGCTTATCTGATAAATTTAATTTATGTAAAATTAGGCACAGTAAGAGATTAACAACAATAACAATAAAATATAACAATCATTGTAATGAAAATGATGTGAATGTGGTATCTGTGCTGACATCCCGACCCCTAATAACAAATCTGAGACTGCTACTAAGGAACTAAGGCTGAGAAATGTATACCCATACATTCTGGACAAAGGGATGATTCATGACCTGGGGCGGGATAGCTTGAGATTTCATCACACTAAGAGTGGTGTGCAATTCAAAACATGGGTTGTTTCTTTCTGGAATTTTTTATTTAATAGTTTCAGATCACTGTTCACCATGGTAACTGAACTATGGAAAGAGAACTAGATATGGGGGGAACAATTACATACTAAACTAGAGGCCCAGTGCATGACATTCAGCCTGGCCTGTGCCCTCTCGCAGTTTGGAACCCCCTCTGGGGGTGTCTGCTTGCCAGCTTAGGCCCAAATGATGTCGCACTCAGACATTCTTCTTGCAGTCCAGGGCTCTCGTAGACTGGGACCCCTTGCTACTTACTGCTTGCTTGCAGTGGAAGTTGGAGAGGCTCCCGCCACTGCTGCTGCACTCGCCAGCTGTGAGCCTAGGTTCTAGCTGAGTTGTACTCCCCTTGTGGGAGTGCAATGACTACCAGGGGGCAGCTTCTGTGTTGAGTGTCTGCCCCCTGGTGGTCAGTGCATGTCATAGCGACTGGTCATTCTGCTGTTTGGTTGATTTGCATATTAGCCTTTTATTATATAGGGTAGTTTGTGGCCTTTGACTTGGATTTTTTTTTTTTTTTATCACATTTTATTTCCACTGTGTCTTCATGTTCCTACCTTGTTAATAATAGTGAGAATAGAACAGAGTGTGAAATCAAGTTCATTGCTGATGTCTAACTCCAGGGTAAATGTTTTATTAAATAGATCAAAGAGAATGACTTAGCAAATGTTTGAATTCTTAATATCTGTGCCTTCCTTTTGTTAAGTGGCTCTTCCCTAAGCAGTAAGAGCATAACATCTTACTATGAAGAACAGTTCAAAAATTGGTTATGAAATAGCCTGGATTGGCATTTACTGTCCTTAATTCTTGAATCTATTGGACCAGTTGGTGAGGACTAGAGAAGCATAGTATTCCTAGACAACTATTGGTAGAGGAAAGTTGTATTTCTTGATATGGTTTGGAGGTTTTGGAATTTATTGCAAAGCAAATGTAAAGTGGACCTTTGAAAGCTGGATAGCAGCACAATGTGTCCAAAACGGCATAAATGGAATTTCATACTAAACTAGAGGTAGAAGTAGACTGACGCAGTCCTCTAAAGAATACAGCATGGTGTGGTTTATTTTTTGATTATGCTCTTAGACAAATAGGTGATAATATTTTGTATACTCATTTTATGAAGCTGAGAAGTATATAGTGCCAGCAATGTGTGAAGTAGCCAAAATTTTGGATAGGCTTCAGTTATTTAGAAAAATTTTCTTATGGAACTTTCAATCCAGATATTGTGATTGTGAAGGTTTGAAAACATAATTAGCATATAACTTTGTGTCTTCAAAATAATAATCTTTTCTCTCTCCTCTGCATGCTTTTCCTAGGTTGTGTATTCTTCCTGTGCCTGGGGATCTTTTATATGTTCCGCCCAAACATCTTCTTTGTGGCCCCTCTGCAAGAAAAGGTGGTCTTTGGGTTATTCTTCTTGGGGGCCATTCTCTGCCTTTCTTTTTCATGGCTCTTCCACACGGTCTACTGCCACTCAGAAGGGGTCTCCCGACTCTTCTCTAAGTAAGTATCTGTGAAGTCCACATTTTGATCAATGATTTAGAGTCAGTGGGTTAGTGAAAAACATCTAGCAGGGCTGGCAGAATTCTTAATACCACCTCATCGAAACTTTCAAAAAATATTAAAGCAAGCACTCCAGTATGCCTCTTAACTGTCATGGGGGGATTAATGTGAACATCAGTGAGCAGTGATTTTTAACATTAAATGCATTTCTTTTCATATCCTAGACTGGACTACTCTGGTATTGCTCTTCTGATTATGGGAAGTTTTGTTCCTTGGCTTTATTATTCTTTCTACTGTAACCCACAACCTTGCTTCATCTACTTAATTATCATCTGTGTGCTGGGCATCGCAGCCATTATAGTGTCCCAGTGGGACATGTTTGCCACCCCCCAGTATCGAGGAGTACGAGCAGGTAAGAGCATGTGGAGGTTTTACATTAAACAGCCATTTACTGAAGGCTTACCATTGTCTAAGCATTGTGCTATGTACTTGTGATGCATACATCATAGTTCCTGTTTGAGGGGCTTTTAATGTAGTCTTTTCTAGAGCTGAGGAACAGTGGTTAGCTATGTGAGCTGATGTACTTGGGACAGTGTAGTTTACTTGAGTTTATGGCCATACACTGTTGACAAGGGCTCTGTAACTTGTAAAATAAACGATTCCTCTTAATCTCAGCATGAAGTGTACTCTTTGTAGTTATAATTTTTGTTATTTTTATTTTAAAATGTGTAATCTGCTTAATGATTGTGTTCTATTACTGTAGGCATCTCTTCTGATATAGGTATAAAGAGGCTTCTTATTTTTAGGGTAATGTCTGTTGAGCTGGAAATCATATGGAAAGCCAAAAGTCTTTGAGTACCCTTTGTTGAGCTGTCCTCAACCTAGGAAGTTACAGGTTAACAGAGACAGGTTTTTATCTCCCACTGGACTGGAGACTCCTTATAGCCAAGGCTGTGTCTTGAATTTTCTTTTCCTAGTATCAAACCCAGTGCCCACTGAGAATGAACAAGAAGTTTGGCTTAGTGAATAGAGAATTGGCCTGTGTACCAAATGGTCCCAGGTTTGATTCTGGTCAAAGCATGTACCTTGGTTGTAGGCTCCTCCTGGTTGGGGAGCATGCAAGAGGCAACCAATTAATGTGTTTCTCTCACATGGATATTTCTCTGTGTCTTTTCCTTTCTCTTCCACTCTCTTTAAAAATCAGTGGAAAAATATTCTCAGGTGAGGATTAAAAAAAAAAAAGTATTTTTCCTTTCAACCCTTAAAAATTTTTTCAAAAGAAAACAACTGTTTGGTATTAACAATTAAGTCATGGTTTATCTGCAATTACCTAGAAGGTTAGGAGTTAAAATTAACTTTGTTATAACACTCTACCCTATTTCTTCTTTAAGTGTTTATGTGAGCAAATGAGCTGTGGTCAGGGTTGGCTTTCAGTAGTACTTGACTATGGTGTTAAGCTTGTTTGAGCATAAAAGATAAGAATGTCTTTACTGAGTAAAGCTGGACGTCCTGCTTATTCACATCAGAGGCACCAAATTCCTGAGCTTTGACTGAGGCAGTGACATGCAAGACCATTGGCAGCCTTTGCTTAGCATGTAGAGGCACAGAATAAGTGAAAGAAGAAGGTCATGTTGATTTTATTTATTTATTTGTTTGTTTGTTTGTTTATTTATTTATTTAGTGAGGAGTGGAGGTAAGAAGTAATTTTTATTTAGGCCTACTTGATTTCTTTCTTTTCTGAAATGAGCATTGTCATTTTCCTTTTCTCTATTGATGTCCATTTTAATTGTGAATAGGCATTGTGCTGTTGTTGCATACCAGCAGCTCATATAGTAATGTCTGAAGCAAGTAGTACAGTATGCCCTTTTCTTTTGAGAAAGCTTACCAAATGATTGTTTTCTAAGGATCATTCTTAAGTCTTTGTGTCAAAAATGTAAAGCAGTTACTACTTTTGTAGGGAATATTTGTGTAGTGCTTGGTTGATTTCACTGATTTCAAAGTGGTTTTACAACAGTTGCCTTCAAACTTTTTTGATCATAACATTTTTTCCTAAAACCCTGAACACACACACACACACACACACACACACACACACACGCAGACGCACATGTACACACACATTGACAGAAACAGCAATTACAAAACTTGATGGATTAACGCTTAACTTTCCACTTGTGACACAGTCTGATATTTGTTATTTTAGCCTAGTTCTTTTAGAAATTCTGATCCAGACTCAATTGGTCATATCCAGAAGTTTGAAAAAACACTGCTATGGATGATTTTGAAGTCATTGGAGTTTGGTGGAGTGTTCTGATGCTTCTGTAGACTTCTGTACCTGATGGGTACCTTTGGGCCTGAGAACTTTCAGAAGCATCTCTCTCTCCCTCCCCGCTCCCCCCCCCCCCCCTTCTCTCTGAAATGAAGACATGCCTTAGACTTGGAGGGATGAACCTCTAGCTGAGTGTAGTTCTAGCTGTAGTTTCTAAAAATACTTTGGGGATTCATCCGAATCTATAATTCCATGTTCTTTCCTCACCTCCACCTCTAATCTCTCATCTCCTCCCCTTTCCATCTCAGGAATATCTGTTGCTTTAAAGGAAAGATGAAATATGTAAAATTGCTTTATATTGCAACCTGTGTCTATAAAGAGGCAGAATTTAGGGAGTTTTAAGCCAACTTCTAGAGCTGTCTATTTCTAAAACACTTTGCAATGTGCTTTGAGGACTGCTGAGTCCTTAAGCTAAGCCTCTTTCAGCAGGAGGCTCCTTGCATCTGTAAATAGATCTGTATTTTAGAACATAGCTGTGCTGTCTCGTGTGGCAGTATCCGAGTTCGAAGTATCTTCTTTTTCTGTTCAAACAAGAAGCTTATGTTGCATTCTACTCTGAAGTTTTCAATTTATAATATTTTTAAAATTATTCCTTATTTCTCTTTTGCATTTTTGCCTTTTTTCTTGTGATTTCTAGGAGTGTTTTTGGGCCTTGGCCTGAGTGGAATCATTCCTGCCTTGCACTACATCATCTCGGAGGGGTTTCTGAAGGCTGCCACCATAGGGCAGATCGGCTGGTTGATGCTGATGGCCAGTCTCTATATCACAGGGGCTGCCCTGTATGCTGCCCGCATTCCTGAACGCTTCTTTCCTGGCAAGTGTGACATCTGGGTAAGTGTGATCAGAGGTGCCAGTGTGTATACATACTGATCTCTTAGTGGATTATTGGCAGACTGGGAAGTAAAATAAATAAAAAAGTTTTAGACAAAAAAACTGACAGATCTGTATTTTAAGCCTAACTCTCCCTCATCCGTATGTTTCTCTGGATGATAAGTACAATAATAGCTGTATTTATTGAGTACTTACTGGGTGGCTGGCACATGTCTGAGTGAGCACTTTACATGGATTACCTCATTTAACATATTAGTCCTAAAAGGTATAACAACTGTTACTAATGTTTTCATTTTGAAGATTAGGAAACGAGGTTTAGGAGATTGGTAACTTGTCCAGTGTGCCTGGCTATTCGGTGGTAGGGGTAGAATTGGAATCAGGCTAGTCTAAAAACAGCGTGTGAGCTGCTATATACTGCACTGCACTGGCAAGTCATTCAGTTTTTCTTTGTCTCAGCTTTCTCATTTATGAAATGAGGGTGATGGACCAGATTTTTGCTTAGGTCATTTTGATCACCAAATTTAGTGATTTGTAATGAGAGATTGAGTGTGTGTGTGTGTGTGTGTGTGTGTGTGTGTGTGTGAATTTAGTTGGAACAGGAGATAGAGATAACCAGATTGCAGTTAATGGAGGAAAGAAGAGAGGCAAATAAAATATAAGAGACTAATAGTTGGAAAATTTTTAAACAGAAGATGGCCTGAAATGTTTTCAACAGTACAGAAGTGGAGGGTTGTTTGATATGAAGTCTGACCTTTGGAATTCTTTTTCTTAACCTGTCAATTGTTATAGATACGTTGATCATCTAGTCTGTTTAAAGTTTAGTTTAGCTATCTGTAAAATGAAGATAATGATAATTTAGGCAATCTTTTGAAACATCTCTATAGATGTAACTTAAAAAATATATAGTTTATACTAAAATCAGTGTCTTTCCCTTGTTTTTGCTGCTGTACTTTTAATTTTGAGACTATAATGAGAGAATAGTGTAATTTTGAAGTAATTTTTGGTGCACTGAGCACTTGATAATCCGTTTTGAGCATTCAAAAGAACAGGTTAAATCAGAAATAATATTACATGTTTGTAGATCAGCTTCTGACTTGAGAAGAGGATAAAAAGCCCTGTTTTGCCGAAACCGGTTTGACTCAGTGGATAGAGCGTCGATTTGTGGACTGAAAGGTCCCAGTTCTATTCCGGTCAAGGGCATGTACCTTGGTTGCGGGCACATCCCCAGTGACGGGTGTGCAGGAGGCAGCTGATCGATGTTTCTCTCTCATCGATGTTTCTAACTCTCTATCCCTCTCTCTTCCTCTCTGTACAAAATCAATAAAATATACTTAAAAAAAAAAAAGCCCTGTTTTCCTAGTCTTTCGATATAGTATGTTGTTCATGTAATTCCAGAATCTTTGAGCTGGAAAACGTTAGCCACCATATATTTTGACCTTGTACCCAATCCTGGAAATCCCTTTAGTATCCCTCAATAGAGAACGTTTTTCTAACATTTGAATGACCAAAGCTCAAGTGCATTATTCCATGATAAAAATATTCATCAGCAACGAGAAAAATGCTTACTGCTAAGTATTAGGGGGTTCTTGGGATCTTTGTGCTCTGATTTTGTCCATAATTTGCCCCTGAGTTCACTAGTTTCATGTCCAAAACTTAGTGGCAGCATCTTAATTTCTGTGGGGAGGCTGGCCTTGTTTAGCAGAATCTGATATGCCTACTGTTTATCCCAAGGTCTCAAATTTGAGCTCTGTTGCATCCATTCCTTGCCCTCTGCTCAGCATAAGTGATCTTAAGAATCATTAGCAGACTTTTAATAATGCACCCCCTCTTTTTTTTTTGCTTCCAGTTTCACTCTCATCAGCTCTTCCACATCTTTGTGGTTGCTGGCGCTTTTGTTCACTTCCATGGGGTCTCAAACCTCCAGGAGTTCCGCTTCATGATCGGCGGAGGCTGCAGTGAAGAGGATGCACTGTGACACCTGCAGTAACCAGGGCTGGGCCCTGACCAGGGCCTGCTGTACCTGCAGGCTTTTCCCTTCCTGGCCATTGGTGCCAGTACCAGAGGAGCCCCAAAACTTCCATAGCCTCGTGCGCTTGGTGACACACCAGAGGCTCCATGTGGCACATGACTGAGAAGAGAAAAACAAAAATAAATCATACCTCAAAGGATGGAGTGCATCAATTTGGGGAAAAGGAGAAATGGCCCAAACCCCGGGGTATTCTTGGGATGTACTGATTGAGGGCTCTGCAAGACCCTTGGCAAACTGGCTTCTGATCCATATCATATTTATTTGATGGGGAAACAGTTTAGCTGGTAGTTCATTCTTCTCTCCCTTTCTCTCTCTTTAAAACAACAATTCAAACCAATTTAGGTGAACATTTATATCCTATCAAGGGGTGGGAATGTGATTTTAGATGCTCTTTTGGGAGAACAAACAAGTTAATGTATATAAGATTTCTAACTTACTGTTTAAATAAAAATTTATATAAATGTTTAAAACATAGGGGTAGGAGAGGGAGGGAGAATTTTTATATAGAATGAAACATGCAAGAACCACACACTGTTTCAATTTTGCACAAAGTGACCATGGGAGGAACAGGCGATGGCCCAGAAAGTATAATGCCTTGGTGCACCACGCTGCCTTCTGCAGGCTGTCATACCCTGGGCCCCGGAGGGGCAGAGAGCACAGCCCTGCCCAGTGGTCACATCGCCACTCTCATGCCTGAGAGCCTGGGGAGTCCTGAGGGAGAGGGAGGTTGGTATGTGTTTTCTAAGGAAGCAGCAAGTGAATGGCTGACAGGATGTTAGTTAAAAGCTCTAGTTCAGGTGACCTTTGAGAGACCCACTTCTTTTTTATGCCAATGATCTTCTAAAGAGCAGAGCCACCTGCTGCAGATGTCAGTTATGCTTGCAGGAGGATAGAGGAGACTGAGCTCTGGAAATGTTAGCACAGTGCTGGTCTGGGTACTTCCTGGCATCCTGTTCTTTTTGGGATGATTTTCATCTGATTGCAGGGATGTGACAGTTTTCCATATCCTTATGGTGGAGCTTTTGGACTGTCCTGGAAATGTCCCTCTATTAAAATCGCTGCCCCAACTACTCTTCCTCCTTTTGGAAATAAATATTGACCTTTTCCCAGCATCATCATTCTTGGCATGGAGCTAACCCAAAGAGTCTGCCTTGTCCAGGTTCCTCTTGAGCTCCTTCACCAAGGTTGGGAGACTGCTTCCTTTGGATTAGGAAAGATGAGTGTCACCTGGTACACTGCCTTGGTGAACCTTGGGGTGGCAGTCATATCTGCTCTCCTTGAACAAAAAAAGCCACTAAAACTCTTGGAAAGCAGGGCCTAAACCCATCAAGGAGCAGCAGCAGTATCTGAATCCCAATTTTAAGGGGTAGTCTGGTGGGACGTTTTAAAAGGAAATTGGATGTTATTGCCAAGGAGTCTGGGAAAATCTTGAAAACTGTTAACTTTGAAGAGTTGCTAGAAGTAAAAAAAAAAAAAAAAAAAAAGATTATGTCTTCAAGGTTACCCTGTTATGGCATTAGGGAGAGTGTTAGGGGAAGGATCTGGTTCATCTGATCCTCACACGGCTCATGGGCAAACCACACAGATAGCACTAGAATCTTAGGTTACTTACTGTCATCCAAGGCTGCAGGTGATCGTTACATCCTGGGACTGTGTGCATTAGAATAAACACAGGCCCTAAGCATGGGGCTGGCATCCTCCACTGGTGTTTGAAAATGTGGGAAGGGTCTCCTATTTATTCCGTATGGGGTTTTCTTGGTTCTTTCTCTCCCTTCCAATCTCCAGAAAAAGCTGGCATCCAGGAAGAAAGAATCCAGTGTGGAACCTGGGAGGAACTTAAAGAGTATTTTGGTTCTGGATAACGTCACTACCCTGGGTGCTAGGTGGACCCAGCAAAAGACTCAGTGCATGAACCAGTTCAGTGCCTGACAGAATAAAGAGCAGTATTACTCCCTCTGAGGGGACAGTCTAGCAGGGCAGTGCCATGTGGAGGAAACTGACTTAGCTCCATGGAAGCAACAGCACATATCAGAAGCCAGACTTGCTCTTCGGTCATGCTCTTTGAGGTGCGGGGTGTAAGACGCAGCCTTGACACAACACCAACAGAGGTAGCTGTCTCTGGGCCCAATCACTCCACACCCCAAAGAGGAGCCCAATCTGGTTCAACATAGCACAAACCCTTAGCAAACATGAAATTTAACATCAACGATGTATAATCCAGTAAAAATCTCTCCTTAGGGTGTGTGTGGGTGTGTGCGTACCCATTTATAAGTGTGTGTCTGTGCAACTGACTACCAACAGCCTCACTGCACTTGGTCTTACAGTGCTCGCTGAGAACTCTCACCAGGTTGGCGCCTGAATGCCTTACTCTCAGCAGTCTGAGGCTTGCTTGCTCTGTGCAGATTTTTAATTTTCTTTTTTGGCCCTAGGCTGATTAGGACCTCTACAGCTTCATACTATTATATCACCATTAAATAGTGGCCTTTTTCAGTATTTTTTCCTTACCCTTTAAAAATTGCTGAAGCCACAAAGCACATGTTTTGGGGATCATAGAAGTTTGGGGTTTCAGAAAGGCATCTATGTAATGGTTCATTCACCATGGGATTTCCCTATTTGCTGTATACTCAACTTCTAATAAAAGGAACCAAGTGGAAAATGAACTTGTGTTGTGTGTGTCTCTTCCCCCCCCCCACCCCGGTCTCAGCTTACCACTCCAGAGCTTTTGGCATTTCTGACTTGAAGTGTTAATTTCTACACTGAAGCTTAAAGAATTATCAGAAACATTCTAATCTGAATCACAAACCAAAATGCTCAACCTTTCTCACCAAGTTTATTTTATTTTTTAAAATAGGTTTTTGATTTCAGAGAGAGGAATGGGGAGGGAGGGGGAGAGGGAGAAGGGGGGGGGGAGAGAGAGAGAGAGAGAGAGAGAGAGACATCAGTGATGAGAGAATCATTGATCGGCTGCCTCTTGCATGTCCCCTATAGGGGACATGCAACCTGGACATGTGTCCTGACCGGGAATTGAACTCTGACCTCTGGCCAGGTTTAGAATGGAGGAGAGGGCTAACTTCTTAATTATTAAAGTTTATGCAACTAATATGTAATGAATATGTTATGTAAAGGACTCTTGCTATCTCACATAACCCAACTACAACCCTCTGAACTGCTGATCAGTTCACATTTCATTGGTGCAAAAACTAAATCAGAGAAGCTAAGGCTGACTCTGCCGGTATTCTTTACGAAGAAAGTTCAGATTAGACAGTCTTATGTATATTGACTTAAAAGTTTTGAGGATTGTTAACCCTTTTATGTAACTAAAGATTTTTAACTTTTGTCTTAGGTAAATTTAGTTTTGCAGGAGAATTTCCAGTATTGGGATAATATATCCAGTCTGAGTTTTCATTTTAAAGTATAGATAAAAGTTAAAGATTTTCCATATTATCTGCATAGAGGACATTGGATTGCATTCTGTTCTTGAAAAATAAAGTGAGGCCTACAAATAATTCGCTTCATTTTTTCCTAGGCTTTTCCAAGCTGTCAATATACTCCTCAGGCGAGCTCTGGTTATTGTGAAGGAAATAGATAAGGGCAAGATGAATTTTGACTATAGATTGCTAGGGCTCTGGGTAGTCTAGAGCAGTGTTTCCCAAACTTTTCTCATGATGAGAATCACCTGGTGGAGTTGCTAAAATACAGATTCCTGAATCCCAACTAAGAAGTGCTAAACTAGAATTTTTGGGAACATAGGTAAAATTGTATACTATATGCTCTAACACTAAGTTAAGTATACAATTTTACCTATATGTTCCCAAAAATTCTAGTTTAGCACTTCTTAGTTGGGATTCAGGAATCTGTATTTTAACACCACCAGCTGATTCTCATGAGAGAAGTTTGGGAAACACTGGTCTAGAGAAACCTCTTGGCAGTGTTGCTTTAAAATTGCCCCAGAAATATCATCTCCAGTATTTTGCTTCAGTTACAGCACATTTGTATTCTCAGTGGCATGACCTATGCACTGCCACTCCCTGTATCCTAATGTGCAAACATTTTCTGCCTTCAACTATTTGATTTGGTGAAACAAAATCAGTCTGGCTCTTGTAACTCCTGCTTGTGATGGAATGGAGGGGGCTCAGGGACCCAAGGAAGCAGGGGATCCAGCTGCATGAACACTAAAGCCTCTCATTACTGCTCACCGACCACCCCTCCAACTACACTGACCTAAAACAGCTGTAGGTTCAGAGCGCACCTCTGCCATTTGCCAGGCGACAGGCGAGAAATCATTTCCCAGCCCTGTTTTCTCACGTGTTAGGATGGAGTTTCTAACATCCTTTGCATCTTTCTGTGAAATGCTCTCACAGATAGACATTTCTCTTAATTTCCCATGGTGATTGGCTGGGGTTTCTGCCAAACTCTGGCTCCAATTTCTCCCTTCTGTGGTCTTTGACTTTCCCGTATTTACTTTTCTGACTTTATATTTACTTTTCTGACTTTAAGATATGCCCACTCCTTTGCTCTCCTGAACCAAAACTTCTCTTAGCAGCAATAAGTGGCTACAGAAGCTTTTTACATGAAAGCACTTCTATTAAAATACACAAAATTATTAGGTGAATTTAGAAGTTAATATATCTCTACTGAGGAAGGAGGTCCTGACAGCAGCCTTGAATTCTGGGTCACCAAAGATGTGCAACATTTATAGGGAAAGGCTTTCACGATTCTGTACCCCAGTCCTAATCAGTTTGGCTCAGTGGATAGAGCATCAGCCAGTGGGCCAAATGGCCATGGTGGATTCCGGTCAAGGGCATGTATCTTGGTTGCAGGCATCTCCCTGGTCAGGGCATGTGCACGAGGCAACCAATTGATGTGTTTCTCTCACAGCGATATTTCTCTCTCTCTTTCCCTCTCCCACTCTCCCTAAAAATCAATGGAAAAATACCCTCAGATAA